GGGGAGCCCATGGAGGTGGGGCCTTTTCTGGCAAAGACTATACCAAAGTGGACCGGTCAGCAGCATACGCAGCACGCTGGGTGGCCAAGTCCCTTGTGAAGGCTGGGCTCTGTCGCCGCGTTCTGGTTCAGGTATAAACCTGGATGTTGCTGTTCTCAAAAAGGCTTCCTTTTCAGTTTTTTCTTGAGTAAGCATAGCTAGATGCAGTATTAGAATACTAGGCGCAGTCCTGGGAATGAATTAGGATTGGAGAAAGGAAGACCTTGATGTTCTCGGTTCAAGATCACCGTAAGGTGGCTAAGGGCACATGAACTCCTTGAATCTGGGGCTCTTCATTTAGCTTTCATTTTATTGGAAGTTTTTCTGGACACTTCCTGAGCCCTCAGGAGCCCTCCGTGACACTTATTGTCATGGGGGTGAACATTGGATGACTGGATAAAGAGGAAGAAAATTATCCAAAGAGGTCAGAATTTTCAAAGGTTTCCCCTTTTCTCTATGAATAAAGATTCTGCAAATATAGGAAGTAAAGGAGAGGCCTTACTTTGCCTAAGATGGTTCATAAATGAATACTTTGTTCTGTTGCATACTGTTATTGCCTGAGGCTCCAGCCTTGTTTATGAGCTATGGTGTCTTTTTGCCATAGGTTTCTTATGCCATTGGAGTAGCTCAGCCACTGTCCATTTCACTCTTCACTTACGGAACTTCCCAGAGAACAGAGAAAGAGCTCCTGGACATCGTGCACAAAAACTTCGACCTTCGGCCTGGAGTCATTGTCAGGTAGCGTAATACGAATGCACAGGTATGGAAATATCTGTGTGATCACATCCCAGAGCTGATTCCTTGCAAAACTGTTTGATGTTAGAATGAAGCGGCAGTAATATGTCAGCCTCTTGAGCTCATGTGGGATTACTCCATGTAGTACAAAAGAGATTTTTTTTATCAGTCTTCACAGTTGTAATGTGTTATGGATCTACTAGTGTGCCATATCCTCTAAGATGATAGATGTAGTTCCATATCAAGTTATGTTCATATGAAGGATATACTTTCAGCATTTGGCCTTTTATGGTATATGGAATTGAACTAAAATAAAATGAATTAATTTTTGGCTTCCAAGAATGTGAACTTACCTTTACAGTGCTGTGAAAAATAGAAATTTTTTATTTTACAAAATAAATTGAAGATATTCTTTCTTTTCTGTTAAAATTCATAATTCTCAGTAACTAAGAACTTCCTCTGTAGCCCTAAAGTACTTCAGATTCAAGTTTTGTTGCCGCTTTTATGATTCTCCTATTGGGCATATTCACTTATATGTTTGCCTCTCAAGAATATGGTTGCTAGATTGAGGGAGTGAAATAGGCATCATCATCATCAGGATTTTAATGATATATGTCATGAAGTATCTTACCATGAAGAATTTTCTTTTCTTTTTATTATACTTTCAGGGATTTGGACCTAAAAAAACCCATTTACCAAAAGACTGCATGTTATGGTCACTTTGGAAGAAATGAATTCTCATGGGAGGTACCAAAGAAACTTGTATTTTGACAATAACAGCCTACCTTTAAAAACGGAAGGGAAGAGAAGTCCATTAATGGTGAGGATGCTTCCAAAAATCAAATTTTACAACTGCGTATTCAACAGAAAGAATTTCAGATTTTAAATGGTAAGAAAGAAAAGGTTATTTTCTTGGAAAATGATTTTTTTAATCCTCAATGTCTTTCATTATCTAAGATATAAAAGGCAGAATCTGGGTTTTTTATCAGCATAATAAAACAAAATAGTTTATTTTTTATTGCTGCTCTGTTAGTTCTTCTGATAAAGGCAAAATATGACTCAGGTACACAAACCAATGGCTGAACCTCAAATCTTGCGTGGGCAAGGATCAGTAGATTTCTTGCTTCTGATTAGACAGTGGGAAATTCTGGGGTCCAATTTCCTTACTGGAGTTAGCATTGCATACATCTGTGGGCCATTTTAATGGAAGAAGGCTGAATATCACAAGACTGTATCTTGGCCTTTTCTGTATAAGGTATTATCATAAACATAATATTTAAATCTTCACTGGGTATGGGCTCTTATTGCTGTGTTTCAATTACCTGTGCTTTTGAAACGTAAGTGTTCTCCTATAAAACAACAATCATTCAATAAAATGCTTTTTTCCTACCATGTATTTAAAGGCACTGCTTTTTGTGTGTGTGTTTGTGTATGTGTTACAGCATAATGTTCTATCTCAACTCAGCTTCTTACACTGTTGTTGGATTTTAGGAGCTGTCAACATGAATAAAACACTAAAGCCAGGAAATCGAAGTGCAGTTAATGACCTAATTTTAGTAGATTTTGGAATGGTACTGCAAAGATATTTTTCAGTAAATGTGATTGTTACTTACTCCTTGTAATTAATAGAAGCTTGGTGAAAATGTATTCAATTTTTCTCTCTCAGGTTTTGTGCTTGACAGGACTATCTTATTGTAATTTTTGCTCCCGAATTTTTAAGTTTATTGTTTGGCTTACTAGGCTTGATGTAATTCTGGAATAAAATGAAATGTATAGAAATAACTGCAAGACATCAACAAAAATATATATAGTGTGAAGTTACAGTTTGAACCGCTAACCTATCCAGCAGTCTCTGCCTGAGGAACTAGCCGCTAGATGGCTGTGTGTCCTGCCACAGCCGTGGCAACAGGCCTGTGTGCAAAGCGAGTCGCCTGGTACCAGCGCCCGGTGCTCCTGCTGCCATGGCACGTACCGCCTCCACCTACCCCGGTGTGCGGAGCTAGACGGAGCATAAGGATGTTGTTTCTTGCTCACATGCTGGCTTGTCCATTCAGGAAACAGACTCTATTTTTGGAAAGGACTGTGGGATAACCCTAGGTTTGTGTAAGCGGGAGGGTAGGAGCGTTTTTAATCCTCTGTGACTGGTTTTGTCAGTAGGCAACAAGAATGAAATAAATCCTGCACTAGAAGGCTCCCCTAAATACACACACACACACACACTCAGCATCTTGTTAGAGCTTCTGTGCTGGAGAAATGCTCCCATCTCACGTTTCCCTTCAAACCCATTTTCTTTGCATAGCATCTCCCAAACAGGTGTTGAGACAGGTTAAAGAAAAAGTGTCATTCAGTCTCTTCTTTCAGTATGTCACAAATATAGCACTGTTCACACCAGCAGCCTCTCCCCTTTTAAAATTATGCTAATATGCATATATATGTGTGTGTATATATGTGTGTGTGTGTCTATATATGTACAGTACATATATGTACTATATGAATTGGGAAGAATAAATCATTTCATGTGTAGCTCCTGATCGCATGAGGACTTAATACATTAATCAATAGCCTTCATCAAACACCTAGATACATTTTGGCAGGAAAATATCTTAGTGTGCAGCTGCAGCTGAAAGAATGGATTGGCAAAAGTTGCCCAGAGGCTATTTTTCCCACTAAATTTTGCTCATCATGCAAGGAAGATAGTTGCATGTAATCGCCAGCCTCTCAAATGTAAACTCTTTGGAGCCAAGGCCTATTGGTCTGCCATGAATCATAAATTTTGGCATCATTATTAAAGCCTTGTTTTGCTAATGAACTTTTACCTATCAGTAATATGTACAGGGCATCGTAATAATAACAAGAAGAAGAAGGAGGAGGTCACCGTTTGTGCTGCTGCAGAATTGCCTTGTGGAAGTGTGCGACAGCTGTGCAGAGATGTGTTTATTGTGAGGGCCCTGCACTGGTGCAGGAGGCAAAGCATGGCTTGGTTAATGCAGTGGACACCTCTCATTGCCTTCACCTGTCCGAGAGCTCCTGGTCCTGAGGCTTTATACTTCAACTACGGGAAGCAAGCAAACAAAACTAAATAAAAAAGAAAGCTGAAAGAGTGCTGTATGGAGAAATATGTTGGGTAACATAACGTGAAAGCAGTATGGTCCTGTTGCAACAGAAACAAGGAGCTGCAGACAAAATGAACAGGCCTACCTTAATAGTAACAGCAGTGCGCGCGTGCATGCGTGTGTGTGTGTGTGCGTGTGTGTGCGCGCGTGTGTGTGTTTGTGATATACTGTTGGCTGTATGTAATACAGGAGTCTTAGGAACGGCCTCATCATTGGAGGCCCTGAGTATGTCACGGTGATTTGGGGGACGGGGGGAGCAGTACCGAGGCTTGGAAACAGGGCACACATGCGTGTGGCAGCCTGCTGGGAACGGGCCAAAAGGCCACGACTGGCCACCAAACCCTGCATTTTGTGGATCATGTTGGTCACATCCCTAGCATGTGAACGTTGTCAGGATAATTGAGTTAATCCAATAATAAATGTAAGTAGAATGAGTAGAAATGACCAAATTTTTGTGGCAATTTTGGTAGCTAGTCAGCTCTTCCCATAAATGGCCATAAGTCTACAAGGTTCATGGTCCCACTAACAAAAAACAAATACACTCTCACCCCCACAGCCGCAATGGAAATAGCACTCAAATGGTATAATATGCATACTGAAAGTAGGGTCATGTCCTACATGATATTTCCACCTTCTGCTACTGTTGCTGCTTTGTTTAATAACCTGGAAACTGGAGTGCATAATTTGCCCTCTGGGTCGAGTAGCTGCTGCAGGGCCCAGGGCACAGCCCCATGGTGCACGTGGCGTTGGCCATTATCAGCCCTTCTGGGCTTCTGCTTGGAGCGTGAGATACAAGGTTGAGTTGCGGGGTGGGGGGGGGGGGGGGCGGCATGTGCATGGGCGTGTGTGCAAGAGAGAGCAAGAGAGACAGAATAAGCACGAGTATATACTGAAAATGCCTACAGTAAAACAATCTGAAAATTTTCTGGTGGGCTTGGCGGCAGCCAGCCCTGCTCAGCCCCATCATGAGAAACTGCCCTCCATCATGCTGGCAAACTGTCCAGCAGCTTCCCAGCATGTTAGGTAACACATGCCTTATCGTACCATGGCTTATCACGCCGCTGCGCTGGCGCAAGGAGCCGTGTAAACACCGGCAGCCCATAGAAACGCAGCTGCAGCTCCAGTGCTGGCACTTGGCTCCCAGAGGCCACCAGCAACAGGTGACTGCTCCCTGAGCTCTTGCAGCAAAATGCTGCTCAGCTCTGGCCTGCTCGGGAGGATGCTCTTCTTCATAGGTTTAGCAGGGCTTCTTCAAGGTAAGAGAGTGCTGTGTTCGGGTATGAATGACAATCGCTTAAATGCTAATTACCTTAGTGAAATGAAGCGACCGGCTTGGGAACCTAGCCCCAGGAGGCCACAAGCAGATAAACCAATTGCTGACTGTTTAAAATAAATCAATAGCTACCCAGTTTACTCACGTTGGAGACCTGATAATCTCAGATATACAAGGTAGCACTAGCACCACAAAACAGTGGCACAATTGTGCAAGATTTGGGTGGTGGGGGGGGTTGTTTGGTTTTTTTTTTGTTTGTTTGTTTCTTGGTAGGGATTATTAACCACCTATGTACATGCTTCTCTGTTTATCTTTTAGATTTTACAGAAACTGGAGCTTTTGCCAGTCTCAGTGATTGTAAAGGTGTAACCATAGCTGACATAACCGACGTGCTTGAGGTAAGCGGCCGCCTGTGGCATTCGACGTGCCGGGGCTTTAGGATGGCTGCTGCTAGTCAAACAGCCCGCAGGGATGTATTTGCCAGTTTTGTTTTGAGCCACATACATATACAAGTGTGATTTATATTTCTTAAACTAGCTGGTACCTGCCATGCCTTCTGGCTGGTTGGAATATAAACTACCTCTTTTGCCTCATATAGTAAAATAAGTGTCTTCAATCCCACCTTCAAATATAAAGGGCTAAATATCTAAATGCCCGTAAAGGCGAGCCCTGCCTTCGGCAGGCTGGGCGCAGCGCGCGGGAGGGATCAGGCCGGGAGCCCCGGGGGCAGGAGAAGCGCTAAAGAGGTACCAGCGCAGGGCATGTAAAGACAGCATTTTTTTTCACATGCTATAGAGAGAAAGACACCTATGGATAAAACAGCAGCACAGCCACATAGCTGGAGCTGGGGCCACGGCTCAGCAAACCCTCGGCTGCTCCACCGGCAGC